AGCACCTAAGGCACCTGACTGATAACCAGAAGGCTGGCGGTTCAAACCCACCAGCCACTCCTCAGAAGGAAGGTTGGGCAATCTACTTCCGTAGTGATGCTGCCTTGGAAACCCAAGGAAGGGTCGCTATGAATCGGGTCCGACTTGACAGCAAATAACAACAACAACAACAACAAAATGAAAAAGTCTGACAAGAGCAAATGATGAGGATACAAAGCAACTAGAACTGTCATACATTGTTGGAAGCAGTGTAAAACAACAGAACCACTTTGGAAAATTTTAAGTAAAACACACTTCTACCTAGCAACTCTACTCCCAGAAATAATATAAGAAAAATGAAAACATATGTCCACAAAGAGTCTTATATAGGAATGTTCATAGTAGCTGTATTGATACCCATCAAAAACTAGAAACAGCTGAGGCTTCTATAAACAAGAAAATGGATAAACAAACTAATATGTTCAAGTTGTTGTTGTTGTTGTTATGCGCATCAAGTCAGACCCAACTCATAGTGACCCCTCCTTGGGTTGCCGAGGCAGCATCACTATGGAAGTAGATTGCCCAACCTTCCCTCCGAGGAGTGGCTGATGGGTTTGAACCGCCAGCCTTCTGGTTAGCAGTCAAGTGCCTTAGGCACTATGCTACCAGAGCTCCCTATGTTCAAGTAATGGATCATTATTCAGCAAGAAAAAGGAAGAAACTACTGATTACACAAAAACCTGGATGAATCCCTGAAACCATTATATTTAGTTAAATAAGACAGATACAGAAGAGCATATACAGTATGATTCCACTTATATAAAGCTCTAGAAAAGGCAAAATTAATCTATGATAACAGAAAGAACAGTAGTTACTTCAGACTGGGGGGGTGGAGCACGTCCTCTTTTCTGAAGTGATGAAAATGGTCTATACCTTGATAGAGGTGCAGTCACTGGATATACACATTAGTCATAATTAACCGAACTGTTAAGATTAGATCAGAACTCAATTAATTTAGTAATAAAAAAGATCTAACTGACCAAAGTGAAATGAAACAAGGGCTTCCCTATAATATAAGTCATCTATAATTTAATATTTAGAGCCTGTGTAACAGTCAACAAATATTTTAATAATTGAAAATGTTTCACTTTAATTTACACTACACTAAACTTCAAGGCTCATCTACATCTTTGGTAATAAGTTAAACCAGGTCGTGTGTTACAGCCACTCACACTGGACACACAACTCACACAAAGTTCCAATGTGTGGCATGGAACACAGTGATTACTACATTTTTGGTTATTGTCTCTAGAACTTTCACATTGAACAGATTTTTATTTATTAGTAGTATGACCAATAGTTAGTGTGAGAAGCACAGAAATGTTTTACCAAAGCAGTATTCAACAGAAAATATAAGGTGAAGAGAAGCCCTTTACCTGTGAGATGGAACCTCCCATTATAAAAGATGGTTTTTCTGAAGCCACTGTAGTTTTGGATGATGGGATGAGAGGAGGAGGTGGCCTCGTTGGCCGAGTGGTCGGAAGCCGAACCCCTTCAGGAATATTAGCTATCACTTGATGTGGAGCAGGCTGGAGGACTTTTAAAGAGAAAAACAAGTTATTTAAAATAGTTAATTTCCTAGTTTGCAGCACTATCTACATTACAGTCATTCCTGATAAATGCAAGATGAAGCTGAGGATGAAAATTTCTATTTTAAATTTCTTATTCATTTGAATTACACAAATTTACATACACACATTCAAGTCACAAATGGTATTTGTGAGAGTGGAATATTTAACTCCTTGTCAACCAGAGCTTTCAAGCTGATGCTCATTTCAAAGTACTTTTGCTTAGCATATGCAAACTTTAATAGCCAATAATTTTTTATCCTTCTCCATCATCTTTTTGGACCTTACAATGGAGGTGAGGAAAAGGTGTGCTTAAGAATAGCTGATTTACTACTTTGTAGAATGTACGGACGTAATTTAAAATGTCTTTGCATCTTGCAAAACTTGACAAACATTTATTGATTCTGGCTCTCACATAACTTTTGAGTTTCTGGAGGAAAAATATCTCAAGATTTTACAAAATATATGTACTCTTAAAAGAAAAATCAGTCAATGTCACAATAAAAATGTGTGAACACAAATTTCCCAGTGGCCCAGTGAATCTCAACTGAATACTACAGATGATGGAATGCAGAAAAACAAAGTCATTTTGAAACAGCAAGGATATGCCCTGGAAGAAGTTCATTCATGAGTTTAAACAACCCAGTGCTAATATCTGCAGGTAAATGGCCAACAGCCACGGTGCAGAGGAATAATATTTACCTGGTGGGACACTATAGCGGGCTGCACTCATATCAGGCTGTGGAGCGGCTTTACTGACTTCTCTTGGAGAAAGCCTACACGGTGAGGCTGACCTTGCTGCAGTACTGTGCATCTGTGCTTCCTGTTCTAGAGCACGTTTGACCTCAGCATAAGGCATATAGGCGACTGATTTTCCTAAGAAAGTTAAAGTTATCAAAATAAGGGAAGAACCCCAAATTAAAATAGTAAGTGTGACAGAACCAAGCCCACACCATACAGGGGCAGATCCGTCTATATATTAATATCCAGATCTAAAAATTTCATGGAGAGGGAATGTACCTACTGAGGTTAAGAAACCCTATAATCTAAATTTTGTATTTATGTACCATCACTATGACCTAATAGAATCCTCAAAAATTAAATTAGGACTTTTTCACTTTAAAGGGCAAGGATCTTCTCTTTTTTCTCATTAGAAGAATCAAGTGTTTTCACATGCAATAAAATCATAATAGGAAAGCATCAGATTACCAAGCAATTCTATGAATTCAAGTCTAGCCTGAATTAGAGGTCAGATCTCTAAGATCGTCAAATCTCTTATAATGAGACTATTCAAGTCTACTGCTTAATATTCATAGAAATAAAAGTAACTAAGAAATGGAAGAAGCCTTTAAGAAGATGCAGATCCAACTAATCCAAAGAACTTACACAAACTTTTAATACTATAAATTAAAATAATAATAATACTAATAACTGTAATAACACTAATAAAAATTACTTAACATTTAAATTACCTCTACATAAAGTATAAATATAGTTAACCAATAAAAGAACATACTAGAGACAATGTTATATTAAGACTTTAAAAAACAAGAACCTTCATAAATACATGATTTTTGCTTTTCTAACTGAAATTGACACATTGTAGAAATTTTGGAAAATCAAAAAACCATAAAGAAGAAAGTAAAAATAATCTGTGACTCTAACTACTTAGGGATTTGTGCCATTTCACTGTATGCCAGAATAAATTCCCACTCATTTTCTTATTCTTTTCTCTATTTTCCTTACCTACTTTCATCCATTTATTCTGCCAGCTAAATCTATACTGAAAATCATTTTATTGAGTACTTTCTTCCAAAACAAAGTATCACTGTGATTTTCACTGGACTTGCATTAAATTTATGAATAAGTACAGGAGACTTGACATTTTATGATGAGTTTTTCAAGCAAGAAAACCTAGTTAGTTTATAGGTCTTACAAATTGTTATAAATTACTCCTCGGTATTTTATGTTCTGTTGCTAGGAAAGCCATTATTTTTTCATATGCTGTTATTCTTAGATGCCATCATGTCAATTTTTGACCCACAGCAGCCCGGTGTGACAGAGTAGAACTGCCCCATAGGGTTTCCTTGTCTGTAATCTTTATGAAAGTAGATCACCAGGTTCTCCTGTGGAGCCTCTGAGTAGTTTCAAATTTCCAACCTTTTTTTATATATGTTTATATACATACACAAATACAACTAATTACTACAGGTATACATGAAAGACAATGGTTTCAGTATATTACTTTTTTTCTGAAAAACTTAATGAACTTTCTTTTCAGCCCTAATAACATTTTTGAAAGTTGATTAGGCTTTCTAGGTAAAGAGTTTGATCATGTTTAAATAATAATTTGTCTTCTCCCTTTAGATAGCTAGACTTTTTTCTTTTCTTTGTTTCTTTACTGCACTTTGTTAAGTAATGCTGGGTCATTCCCATAATTCCTTTAAGGGGAAGGTCTCTAACATTTCACTACTAAGTGTAAGGTTAGTAACTGGCTTCAAATAGGGATTCATTATCATAAGGCATGAAAGTTCTGCTGTTCTACCAAACATGTTTAAAAATCAGAAACAATTATAGTAATATCAGCTAATATTCACATGAATAATCTTAATTCTGTATAAACCAATGAGATCATTAACCCCATTTTACAGACAAGAAAGCTGAAAAATCACACCTAATTGTCTAACATCATTCTATGAGGGATTTCAAAAGTGTCATTCCAGACCCTGAGCTCTAAAGGACAGTGCAATATTTCCCTAAAGGAATGAGTGTTGACTTTCAGATGTCTTTGAACAACTACTTATCAATATGACGGCATTTTTTTTCCTTCTTTGACCTATTAATATAACGAATTAGATTATTAAATGTCCTAGTCTACTTCTGTAGTGATATCGCCTCCGAAACCCAAGGAGGGGTCACTATGAGTTGGATATGACTCAATGGCATATAACAACAACAACCTGAGCAAGCAGATTTCTAAAATAATTCAACGGGGAAAGAAGATCACTTGTCCTTTTCTAGAAAATTTAACATGCAACTGTATTATAAATTCACTGCCTAATTGTTTTTGTCATGTCCAGGAAGTTTATTATGTAGAAAAATTCTATTTGTCAATAATAATAATAAAAACATGCAAATTAAGACGCCTCTAAACATGGCAATTTAAATCACAATGTACCCAGAGCTGGGAAAACAACCAAAGAAACATATATACATATATAAACATATATACACATCGAGCTAAATTCAGTCACATAGAAGCATTGTTGTTGTTGTTGTTACATGCCATCGAGTCGGACCCAACTCATAGCGACTCCTCCTTGGGTTTCCGAGGCAGTATCACTACGCTAATTCATATCAATTGCATAGTTTGTTAAATTTGCATTCAAATTTCAGTTCTATCTCTACCTAAGTTTGAATTTTTCACTGTAGGAATAGAGGTTTCAAAGTTATGTTACTGGAAAGTGAAAAAAATTCTTCTCTAAGTTATTTTAAGCTTTCCTACCAGTGGAAAAGCTTTAAGCTAGTATAAAAGAGCATATTTACTACAATCATTTGAATCTCTTTACAGTAAGAAAAGATGAACACAACCAAACAGATGGACAACAGGTGCTGTTTTGTTTGTTACTTTCTAAATAAGATCATGAAAGAAAAAGACAAAATCATGGTCCTAATTCAGGGGGTCCATATCAGTATTTAGGAGGCTTCATGGTGCAGTGATTGAAGCCTTGGCCTCTAACCAAAAGGTCAGCAGTTTGAACCCACCAGCCACTCAGAGGGAAAAACTTACAGCCTTGGAAACTCTATGGGGGCAGTTCAATTCTGTTGTACAGGCTATGAGTTGAAATGAACTCAACTGCAATAGGTCTGATATACAGTATTTGGTGATGTTTTATACATAACACCACATTCTTACTATAATTAACATTCTATAAAACTGCTCTATGATGTTGCATTTTAAACATTTTAATCAAGCATTCTACCCACAAGCAATTTAACTGCAAATATCTGAATGTTATTTGGAAGAATATCCTATAGTATAAACAGAGTTGGATAGCTATAAACTCAGGAGAGAGTTGTTAAGTTACTGGGTATGAATATACTAGGTAGATTAGCTAAAACAAAATCTAATGTTGGGATACAACGTAAGCAAGTGCCTCACTTTGTATATAGTCACCTTGAATCAAACTGCAAAATTCTTGGTGCTATATTAATCAATATAGTCGGGGCCGACTCGACGGCAAATAACAACAACAACAACAACATATTAATCAAAGTATAATCATTGCATTATGATTAAAAATTAAGATACCACTCAGATCTAAACCACATAAATTACTATGACTGATCACACAGACATGTATTTCATAGTCTGGAGTCCCAGAATTTTGGGCTATAGCATGGTTCAGTCACCCAAGCTCCTAAATACAACACATTATATGAAGCACATCCATAAAAGATACTGAGGATCTAAATTAACAATATGATATCCAGGTTAACTATCGTTAACTATTGTCTTTCTCCTTCATAATGACTAAGTATTACTAACTGAATACCATTATGTTTGGCATGACTTCAAGAAATTATAACATTTGAAAGTAATTTGTGTAAGTTTTACTTTACTTCTTTCTTACAAAATTTGTCACAAATCATTCTTATAAAGAATAGAGCCAGAGATGTTTAAGTCACTCTGTAATTTATCATTCTCCATTGATAGACTTTCTCTTAATTGGAATGCTCCAAAGATAGCACTTCTGTCAAGTCCACTTATACTTACAGTGAAATCTGAAAAAGATATCTCCATGATGTCATTCATTTAATTCATTCCTTCAATATGTAATTACTGAGTATACATTATGTTACTTGCTGAACTACTGAATTCTTAGAAGTAATGTACTAAAAGCACAAAAATTATCAAGGTTTCTATATTGGTTCCCTAGTACTGCTATAATAGAAATACCACAAATGGATGGCTTTAATAAACAGGGATTTATTCTCTTAGGAGGCAAGAACCCAAATTCAAAGTTCTGGCTTTAGGAGCTAGGTGAAGGCCCCTTGACCATCAGCTTCAGCTCTGCCTCCAGAGCCAGTTCCAGACCCACTAGAGCTGGAGGCGTTTTCTCACTCATCCAGATGAGGCTCACAAATCCAAGATCAACAGATAAAATGGTACAGTCCCAACATCAACAGGCATACAGCAGGCCACTGGTTCATATCCAGGAACAATCCCAAAATCAGCAGGCAACATGGCAGGCCATTTGGATGATGACTTGGCTAAATGCAGGACGCAAGCAGGCCAAAAAGCTCAAGACCTTTCCCAAAGCTTCTCCTTATATACCGGAAGCAGGCCACACCCCAAAGGCAGCTACTTAGCTGCTCACCGCAGATTCCACCATGGAGGTGATTACCAATCTCATCATGGGGGATAACTGTATCCAGCAGCCTAGTCACTCAAAACCATGGCCCAGCCAAGTTGACACACCATCTTAACTACCACAGTTTCTATCTTCATTCAGCAAATATTCACTGAGCATCTATCATGAGCCCAGCCTTGGTGAATATTAACACTCAGGTTTACATTTTCACTAGCATAAGGTTTATGCTTAAAATATTAATAAACTTAAATTTTAAACTCTAATATACAAGGTTCAGTGTGTTAAGTAACTCATAACTCACTTTTGGTGTAATTTGGGCAGGAGGAGGGGGTTAGCAAAATCAGTTAAATACTACAGTTACAGTTTTATATTAAATAACCCTTGATATGTATGCATTCTAAAGCTAATGTTGCTTTCCGTTAGGTGCCCTCAAGTTGATTCCAACTGATGGCAATCCTATGTGTGCAGAGCAGAACTAATGATCCCATAGGGTTTTCAAGGCTGTGACCCTTCAGGAACAGATCACCAAGCCTGTTTCCCAGGGCACCTAAGAGTGGATTCAAACTGCCAACTTTTCTGTTAGAACTTGAGCACTTAACCATTTGCGCCACCCAGGGACATACTAAAACTAAAAGCTCTTACTTATCTATATAAGGTACTGTAAAGAGTCTTCTAAACTATCATAAAGAAACTAAACCATAGTCACAGAAGATGTTAGTATTCTTATATTCTCAGCATACCATAGCATATAGACCGTAAGTTTAACTATCAGCCAGAATATATGTGCCATTTCCTAACTATACCAGAAGAATTTATTAAAATTGAGAAACACAGTCTTTTTTTAAAACAAAGGAAAAGAAACTAAAACATGCACCAACTCTAATCTGTCACTTGAAGGAGTAACAGTGACATCACAATAACAGGTACTATTATACTATTATATCTATTCCATACTAACTATGTGTTATATAACAATACTGACTGTTCCTTTATTCTCAGGTTTGCAACTATGTAAGATAAATTATTAATTACATATATAATTATTCCCATTTTATAGGTAAGGAAACTAAAGCTCAAAAACGTTAAGTGGCTCACCTATGGCTACACAGCTAGTAAATGCCAGAGAGAGGGTTGAGTCAGGGTCTAAATGGTAATACCCACTGTACAATGTCTCCCATCATATCAGAAAATTAGTATATTATACTGTTTTAGATAAAGATAACAATTCTCACTTACTCTGAAGACTCAGATAAATGGAGCAAAAAACATGGCTTTTTGCTATAAAGATGAATGTCAGAAAACCATCTTAAGGGTGGCATAGTGGGTAAGGCATATGACTGCTAACCAGAAGGTAGGTGGTTCAAACCCACCAGCTGCTCCATGGGAGGAAGATGAGGCAATCTACATCCATAAAGATTTACAGCCTTGGAAACCCAATGGGTGTTGCTATGAGTCAGAATTGATTCAATAACAGTGGGTGTTGTTGGTTGCTGTTGTTCTATTAAAAATGTATTTCCATCCTTTAGTAGTCAATAATATCAACATTCCTTAATAGTTTAACGAGGTCTATTTAAGGAATTTTATCGGTTGGGGTCAACTTGTAATAAATCAACTGATAAGCTAATAACTTACATAGAACAAAAGGCACTACTTTGGTTTTATTTCTCTCAGAAAAGTTCTTTGTGGTGATATTTCTATCTACATACCTTCCCACTCTCTGTTTGGACTCTTGGAGGTGCCACATGGACTTGTAGAACTTCTGCATTCCAAATCTATCTGTTCTTGCCTCTGCCTCTGTTCCTCCAGGAGTGCCGACTCATGCATTGCTTTAATGTGTCGCTGGTAAAGAGCATAGCCACTCACTGGGGTTCCAATTGGTATATTACATGGGGTGCAAGAAACCTTTAGAGGAAAAAAAAGAAAACTAAGTAGGTCAATGACTAAATGTAGTAATAATTACTATCTGTTACAAGTACTAGTAAAAGTGATTTTGTTAATTTTTTTTGTCAAAGCATTAATCTTCAAGAATAATCCTTAAAATGTTAGTTACTTCAGAACTGAATGCAATATAAATGATCGATGTAGTAATAAGAGATCAAATTAGAATTTGAAACACTTCTGTCCAATTCTAATTTACCACAGTTAGGTCCCTGTGGCTCAGGCCTGGGTCCCACCCCTCCTTTCTGTATCTTCTAACCAGGTAATCACAACCATTTCTGTAGATATAAATATCATGTTTATGTTAAACCAAAACCAAACAAAACTCACTGCCCTCAAGTGACCCCTCCTTGGGTTTTGGAGGCTCTAGCACTACAGAAGTAGATTGTGGCTGATGGGTTTGAATTGACAGGCTTCTGGTTAGCAGTCAAATGCCTTAGTCACTATGCCACCAGAGCTCCTAATCTCTATGTTAATAACACAAAAATTCCTATTTCTAAGACCTTTCCTCCAATTTCCACACTACATATAAAATTGCTCACCTAACAACTCCACTTAGGTATCTGAAAAAAACCTCAAAGTTTATATTCAAAGTGGTACTTCTCATTTTCTAAAATCATTTTTGTCCTTCAATACTGTCGATCTTAGAAAATGTGACCTCAGTTGCTTAAGCCAGAAACTTGACTATTTAATCTCATCACCTTCCATAACCAATTTAATTCTTGTCTTTAGGACAGAAATTAAATGTTACTTCCTCAGATAGACCATCCTTATAATAAAGTATGGTGCTGTCTCATCCACTCTCCTTCTCACTGTAGCATGTTCATTTTTTTCAGAGTACATAGTTAGATACTACATTTAATTTGCAATTACATGCTTGTTTATATGCTTACTTCTGTCCTTTTCACACTTAATAAAAGAATCCAATCTGTTTTTTAAAATAGTAAATGAACAGCCCCAACACAGTCCATAAATACTTTGTGAATACAGAATAGTCACATGAATAAAGAGATGACTTCTTTAGAACCTATTACTTAAAAGACTTCCATAGTTTTTTCTCTTACTATAAAGTGGGACTCTTCACTGACCTTAAACATACACTAATTTTCTTGCTACTGCACTTCTGACTTATATGTAAACATGGCTTTTTCTTCTTTTGGTATAAAGCCAAATGAATTGTGTATGTCCAACCAAAATATTATTTCCTATGTGGACTCTTTGGTAAGTTTCCCAATAAGAATAAAGTTATCTCTTTGCTGAAACATCCATAGACTTTTCATTTTCTCTAATAGAGCATCACATTTTAAAGTTTATTATCATTCTTGTTATGTCTTATTACCCACACACAACTTTCATGAAGTAAGAGAGTAAGAACGTTGTCTTAACTGGACAGATACTCAATAAATGTCTGTTTGAATGAATCGATCAATAAATAAACAAATATTTAATGATTTTTTTTGTGAGCCATAAGCACACATTTCACAACTTTTACAAATTATCATATGAGACTGGAAATACATTTTTCCTCTGAAAGATAGCAAGAACTCTGGTGGATCAAATCTACCAGCTACTCTTCAGCAGGAAGGTTGGGCAATCTACTTCCATAGTGATACTGCCTTGGAAACCCAAGGAGGGGTCACTCTGAGTCAGATCCGACTCAATGGCAGTGAGTTTGGTTTTTGATTTAGAACATAACTCAGTAAAAAAAGTAATCCTCAACATCAGAATTCAGTATGAAAAGTGAGTCAAACTTTTACAGATTATTACGGTAAATCTGAAATAAAACTAGAGTTGTAACTGTATACTTAATTTAGCTATAATCTCTAATTAATTTAAAAAACTCTAAAGCTAGTTATATATTTATCACTGCTTTATAGCTACTTATTATGATGATTACAAACAAAAAGAAGAATTACTAATATTTATGGATAGAGCCATTTTCTTTTTTTCCTTAATCAAAAATGACCATTTCAATCAATCATGACAATGAATCTATTTGAGAAATCAATGAAGTAACTACACTAACTAATTAACTTTGGCTCTGAAAAAGAGATCTTCCACAAAGTCAAATTTAGAATCTTCTCATCTTCTCCTCCACATGGCCTTTGTTGTTGTTGTTGCTGTTATTGTTATGTGCTGTCCAGTCGGACCCGACTCATAGCGACCCCTCTTTGGGTTTCTGAGGCAGTATCACTAAGGAAGTAAATTGCCCCATCTTCCTTCTGAGGAGTGGCTGGTGGGTTTGAACCGCCAGCCTTCTGGTTAGCAGTCAAATGCCTTAGGCACTATGCTACCAGAGCTCCCTTCCACATGGCCTAGTACTCCCTAAACCT